CCCCCTGCCTGAGCCCCGCTGCAGAGGTGCCGCCTGCCAGCGCCGTGCCGTGCCGTGCCGTGCCGCATGGCGTGTCCTCGCCTGCCCCCTCCCCGTCCTCCGGTCACCTCCTGAAGCCCCGGCCCCCGCAGCCCTCAGGGGCTTGGCTTTGGGTGGGGGCTGAATTGTCCCCACGGCTCCCCCTCCCCACGTCCTCGCACCAGGGCTGTGGGTGCCGGGGGCCTGCGGGCAGCACCTCCGTTCTCACGTGGCTCTGACTCCGTGTCTGGGGGCAGGGACACGTCCCGTGCGAGGTGCTCTGTGGTCAGCCCTGGTGAGACACGTGGCTCCAGGGCTCGGCTGCAAAGGTCAGGGCACGCGGAGTGGGCGGCAAGGGGGTGACAGCAGGCTTGGCGGGGGTGGCATGTGACCTAGGCATTTCCCCCTCCACCCCCCAATGCGCGCACAGCGCCCGCAGCTTGGAGCGACATTTACCCCAGCACGACGTGCTGTGCCTGCCTGAGCTGCTGGCATTTGGAGGCTGTGAGCTGGGCTCCCGGGGTGCTGGGTGAGACCTCCACCCCGCTGCGCAGGGCTTGGCTGGAGAAGGGCGCCCGAGACTCCTTCCTCTCCCGCCCCTGCCGGCAGGGCTCGGATCCTGCCTTCCCCACCCCTTCCTAGAGCTCCAGGACAGGCATGTGACCGGGAGCTGGCAGGGGCCGGAGATCAAGGTTTCTCCATAGGATTCCCCCAGCTGGGGCCTCGCGGAGGCACCCTGGGAGGTGGAGGTGGGGGTGGGATTAGCGAGGACAGGGAGGCTGAGGAGCTCTCCAGAAGCCTCTCAAATAGGCGGCTGGTCCTTGGGATCTCTCCAGCCTGGCTCCTAAACCCTTCAGACCCCGTTAGACGAGGCCACGGCCAGGCTGGACCCCCACCGCAGCGTTTTCCCACCATGGCTGGGGGCCGGGTGCTGCTTTGGGGTGCTTCTGTGTGCCAAGGGAGTGGGGAGGGCAGCGCCTGGCCCCCCCCGGGACGCGCCTCTGTTTGCCCATCCCCTGCAACTGGCTGGGCGGAGGTGGCCCGGCTGGCGAGAGACGCCCTGGGAGGCTCCGGGGCAGGGCAGGTCGTGAGCGGGGTGGGGGCTGCAGGGAGCGTCGT